ATTCCAAATGTACCTTTAGAGATAGGAAGTCCAGTATTTTCTAGGCTAATACTTAAACCTCAGATTTATTTGACTGAATGTCCCTGGCCATTTCCCCACATTTACTACCTTCAGCTAAAGCCCTAAACTTGAGGTCCACATAGGCCTCTAGCTCTTCTGTCTTTGAACTAGGAAGTTCATCTCTCAACACCCGCACGCCTGCCCCGCCGCCCCCCCTTCATTGTTTTCCTCTACCTCAGGCAGAATAGAATTTTCTTTTGAAGCCTTTGACTGCTAGAACAAAAAGGTAGCCCTTGACCTTAGTCCTTAGTTTACCCTGACGTTCAGGTTGGCACTTTCTCATTTATACTCTATTTGCTTTTCTAAATCTGTCTTTCCTTCTTGTTGCTCTCCTCTCTGTCCTGAGTACCTGGATCCAAACCGTCTTACATCATTGCTGGGCTTCACCTTGACCATTCTCTCGGCGATGATACCCACTTAAGCACAAATAAAAAATATCACATATACCTAAAATGTACGAGTTGCCTTGTGCCCACAGCAGAGATGGGTTCACTCCCTACGTGAAGGGTGGGCATGAAGCTGTTTTCAGATTTAATCCTCCAAAGTAGTGAAGTCAGGAAGCTGTCTTCACAGCAAGCCATGTGGGATCTTTAAGCCACACCGGTAATCTACTCCTGAGCCGCTGGGCTGTCCGACTTGCTACTGCTGTTGGGAAATCCTAGCAATGAAATGATTGAGTCACAAGAATGTGAGTCCCCTCTCTGCAGGGGGGGTCTGTTACAATCAGGGTACATAGCTGAGGGACTGTGGGTTCAGGATATGGAGCTGGGCTGCCTGGAGTTGAATCCCAGCTTGGCCATGTCCTAGGTAAGTTACTTCATCTCTCTGTGCCTCCCTGTCCTCTGTAAAATGTGTCAAATGACCGTACTTACTTACGGGGTGGCTGTGAGGATTCAGTGCATTAATACACAGAGAGCTTAGGCAGATTCCTGGCAGGAGCAGGCACCCGGCGTTGGCCCATGTTGACGTTACGCCATCTTACATTTTACAAAGAGGCCAAGTGAACTGTCAGGATCACACATCTTGTCTGTGGTAGACCCTGAACTCTGATCCCCTGTGCAGCAGTTCCCAAGGTTCCTGGCCTTAAGACCCCTTGTAGTCTTAAATAAAAGTACTGACATCAAAGAGATTTTATATTCCTGGACTGTATCTCTTGATATGGTTTATGTTATTGATATAAATTGAAGCAAAAAAATTTCAAGTATCACTACTGTTAACACAAATGCCACTTTTAATGAAACGTAATTATTTTCCAAAACAAAATGGAGAATGGCAATTGCTTTGCAGTTTTGCAAAGCTTTTTAATATTTGGCTTAGTGGACGATGACCTTGGATTCTCGTGTCTGCTTCTGCATTCTCTTGGTTGCGGTGTCTTATTTTAGTTGAAGAAAACCCAGCCTTGTCACTCCAGACAGAATTCTTAGGTGTGGAGAAGTTATGATCATAGCACCTTCTCTCTCTCTCTCTCTCTCTCTCTCTTAAGATTTTATTTCTTTGAGAGCCCATACGTGCTAGTGTGCATGAGTTGGGGGAGGGGCAGAGGGAGAGAGAGCAGCAGACTCCCTGCTGAGCAGGGAGCCTGAGATCATGAAGTCAGATGCTTAACCAGCTGAGCCACCCAAGTACCCCCATAGCACTTCCTTCATCACAAGCTTCTTCTGAGAATTGGATGAGAGATGTGAAAGTAGAGGGGAAAGTTCTAGGAGAAATGAGGGCCACCCAAGTATCGGCCAATGTTACAGTAGTCACAGGGGCAGACCTAAGCAGCACAGACAAAGCAAGACTCGGAGAGGGGGCAGAAGGAAGTGCACGCGGGCACTGTGGCATGGGACTTGGAAACCAGCATTGTGTGCATAAAGGGAGCAATCATGAGGACCTGGAAGGAAGAACGATTCTCCCCCACACAGCAGACTGCACTAAGCTCCTGGGAGATAAACCCACTTCTCTCCAGCAGTGAGTGGTACATCGAGTACAGTTGGCCATTCTTACAATGTGGGCACTGAACGGTAGAAATGCAAGAGAAAAGGTAAAACTATGTACTATTTGGATTAAGCATAAATCTGCTTGCGAGCAATTGCAAAGGCTGAAGTTGGGGGGAAATCTCTGAATACTTCTTGCAAAACAAAACCCTTGTATAATTCGCTTCTTTCTTCCGCCTTCTCACCCCTTCTAAAGAAAGGTGATTTTATTTCCTTCTAAGCCTGGTCACACGTTGCCACTCTGAATTACCATCTCCAATTTGGCAGAGGCCCAGGGACGGCCTCCTAGCGGGTCACTCGGGCCAGTACTGTGCTTTCCGGAGAGTAACAACTCCAACCCACCCAAGAGGGTCAACAGAGCTGGGTTGTCAGTCTTCTCGAGGTTTGCCAGCCTCTCCAGGTTGGCCGCTCTTGGTGATCAGAGCAGTCAGAAGTGGTTTCTGCAGGAGCTAAGCCATTTACCTTTATACATTCTGTCCATTTTCTCTCCTGAATTTATCAGAAGAGATGCACATTCAGATAGTTGGGGGATGGATGGGAGTATCTCAGCCGACTCCTTTCTTGGGCCTGCTGGGAAGACTGCATCGGCAGACCGGCTGGAAAGATCTGTAACTCAGGATGAAGAGGAACAAGCTCTTGAGATTAAAGGACGATTTATTGGTGGACTCCCTGTGTTTTTCCTTTCGGCAGCCTGTCCTCTGTCTTCTCTCGCCCTCCTTGAGGTGACTAAGCAGGCTGGGTGTCCTCCGGGGCCCCTTGTTTCTTCCGTACTGTTAGCCAGACGTGCTGACTCTTGCACATGGAGGGGTGGGGGATCTGAATGAAAGGCCCGCTGGTGGGAATCGTGTGACTTCACAGTCCACGGGCATTGCTGAGGCCACCCATTGAGTGTGTGTCTAGCACGAGGCTCTGTCAGCAAGAGGTGCCTGCCGTCATCCCAGTAAGCCCTAACCCTGCAATTTAAGACATGTGCTCGTACCTCCCTGCCCCCGGGCACGTAGGAAGACCATCCCATCGGACCAGGGTGACCCGTAAGTGATCATGAGATAGTGTGCTTGGAGAAATTGAACCTGTAAGGAAAGCGAAATGGGAATTTGAATGGGGATATTCAGGAAGCATCCCGCTTGGTTTTCAGCTCAAAATGATTTAGATGACCACTATGACCAGGCTTTTGGAGTTTTCATTTCTTGTCCTAATAATAAGCACAAAATCTTACCAAAGAGGCTAAACATTAAAGATGCTCTTCCCATAGACAAATCTCTCTCTCTGACATCTAAAAATGACATGACTATTAACATATAAGGTTGGTTAAGCCATTTTTGATTGAGCAGCTTTATTCCTCTGAGTAGTTACACCATTGGAGCAAGAGATGGTACTTACCAAATGAGCTCTCTGAGTTTTTTATTTTTGTGTCTGGGAGGAGGGGGTATTGTAATAAAGAATTTTTTTTTCCTTCTCTTTCCCCCCCAACTGATTTTGCTCTTTATCTACTTTTATAACCCCTTTCCACACCCTGAATTTTTTCTATTTATTTATAATTTACATCCTGCTTACTTATATAAAGTACATGAGGTTGCTTACAATATTATAACACACGAGTTGGGAGAGTGAAGAAAAACACATTAGCGGGGGAGAGAGCATGAAGGAATCTGAGCTGGGTGTTTACCACAGCTGAGCCCTGAATGGGAATCTAAGCCTTCTAGAGGCAAAAACAGAAAGCACAGTGTGTCAGGTTATGGAGTTCCTTTTAAAATCAGAAGAGCACATGGGCTAAACCATTTGTAGACGATAAACCATTCGTAGACAACCTGCTTCTGGGTCGGGGTTTCGTAAGTAGCAGAGCAGCTCCCTCGCTGCGATCTATTGAAAGTCAGCCCTCGACACAAGGGTTTGTTAAAAAAAAAAAAAAAAAAAAGAAAAGCACATGGGCTTTTCTGTGCTGGGCATTGCCCAGGTCTCTCGAGGATGAGGCTCAGCACACCCCTGCTGTCGCTCCCTCCCCACCGCAAAACCCTGTGAGTTCTGCCCAAAACATATAGGAAAACCACTGACAGACCCAGGGCTCCCAGCTGTTGGGAAGCTGAACCTCTTGGTTCCTTCCTGAAAAGGGGTTTTACTGGAGTTGGTCCGAAGGTGACAGAGACCACTCAGGGCTGGCCTCTAAGTCAGGACTAGCCCAGACTTTTATTCTGCAGACCTGAGTAAGATGGGACAGACCTCTGGTGGGAAGTGGGGTGAAATCAAGGGGACACCCTCTGAGTAACTTCATCAGCCCATAAAGGGGAGTCCTACCTTTCAGTCACGACTAGGAACCTCTTTTCTGGGTTAGGGCCATGTGGGACCTCCCTCAAAACCCCTGGCAAGTGCCAGTGGTGTTCGAGTCCATCTGAGGAATGAGAAAATGCGTGGTGTTTCTCTGAATACCACCAGTGTCGATAGATACAGATTTTTGGAAGAGAGTGTTGTCAGGGCAGAAGCAGTAAGTAGGAGGCTGTGCTGTCCACCACGATAGCCACCAGCCATGTGTGGCTACTGAGCACTCAAGATGTGGCCAAGTCCACATTGAAATGTGCCAAAAGTATAAAACCTACACCACGTTGCAAACACTGTGGGAGAAAGACTGAAAGAGCCCCATAGTGACAGTGTAATGTAAGATTTCTCAACACATTGTACTGATCCCCTGTGGAAAGGACAATATATTGAATTTGTGTTAAATAAAATATATTACTGAAATTAATTTTACTTGTTTCTTTCTACTTTTAATGTGGCCACTTGAAAATTTAAATTAAATATGTGGCTCAGGTGGTCTTTCTATTTGACAGCTCCGGTCTAAATACCTAGAACGTTTCCCTAAATATCTGATCACGGCAGATACTCCAAATATCGAAACACTTTTCTGAGGAGTGAAATTCCACTATGTCCTCTAATTCCCGTGTTCTCTCTCTGGTTCTCTCTCAACAGATAACGGCTCCCTACATAGCATGTCCAGGACTTCGTTAATCACCAATTCCTTTATTTTTTGTTTCCCCTCCTACACGGTTTCCATTTTCTTTTACACGTGCTTACCCCAGCCATCTGCAGTACACCGGTTTCAGATATTTGAGCTGTGTAGAATCTCTTGTGTACAGACGTGTGCTTGGACTTCTCGCTTCCTGAGAAACCTGAAGGGGCCAATTCCAGAAGATCCACTCAATCCTGGGAATGAATGCCAGGGCCTAGGCCGTTGGGTGGTCTCTGGGCCATCCTGGAGCCTCCTTCCTCCGCAGTCTGCCATCCCAGCAAATGCTCTAACGTGCCATTCCCTGGGACGGGTTGCCATTCCCTGGGAGGTGTTGGAGGGGTTTGGGGGTGCATTGGGAGGGGGAGTAGCAACCAAGTGCCATGGAGGCAGGGGGTCATGCTCCGTTGCAACTGTCTGGTTTCCTGCAAAACACATTCCTTTATATTTTTAGGGAACAAAAAAAGTGCTGCTACAAGGTTCAAAATTTTCATTCTGAACACTTTTCCGAAACAAATTACCCCAAAGAAGCATTTTGAATACCCCCGTCACATCTTTGGAGCTGTAAAAGACACCTTTTCGTAGGGTACCTGTTAACATGCAAAGCAAATTTTTCCGAGGCAGAAAAACAATCTGACAGTAGCAACGTAGAATTTGTTCACTCAAACACATCTAGGTAAATGCAAAAAGTCATCGAATCCACCAGAGCTGCTAGCTACTAAACCTGCAGCGACTAGTCTCAGCCAGCCCAGTTTGAACAGCCTTCCTTCAGAAGTGTTGAAAATGCTGCGAAGTTGGATGATTGGGATTGGGGCGACCCGCCCCTCCCGGGGTCCTCCTCCCTGATCCTACCCGAGCAGGCACGCTGGGGATGGCCTCTTGCCGCTCACCAGAGGGAACCATCTTAAGCCTGGAGGGGGTACCACCCAGTGAAATCCAGGATCAATTCCAACCGTCCGTCCGAAAAGGAAACCCTGGGGCTGGGGAGTGACTGACAACTTTTTGTGCCTATGAATAAGTTGTTATTTTAACCCTTCATTGCTGAATGTTTATTTGACTAATCTCTTCGGCATCAGATAGATTTCATCTTGGCAAGAATGTGAAGAAATCAGTATGGATGGATTTTTTTTTTTTTTTTTTTTTACATTTAACTATTGGGTTTTTTTCAACATACAAATTTAAAAGCTGAATCAACTCTTTCTTCCAGCTAAGGATTTTAAAAGGATTGATTTCCAAGTAGGAAAGTCTTCAGGGAAGCTGACAAGGATTCAATTAACTTGGTCTTGTGTGCTGCTACTAGTTTTGACAAATTTGAGGTTAAGTCCGTGACAACCAGTCCAATGTCCGTGAAAGCACCCATCCCATCTCGGTGCCTGCCCAAGCTGAGGGAGCGGGCACTGTCCCTGCTGCTGTCCCCACTGGAACGAAGTGTAGGCCAGGGAGACCTCGAGCTTTCTCTTCACTGTGTGAGTTGTAGTTAGAGAGTGAGTGTGTGTGCGTGTGTGTGTGTAAAGCACTGAGGATTCTGAATCAATTTCCACACTTTTCTTGTATAAAATTAACCCGACACAGCAAAGCTGCTTTGACTTAATTTATTTGTTAAACGTTGCACTTTGTTTATATGTGTTTTGTTTTGGTGGGGAGGGGAGTAAGGAGAAAGAAGATCAATTCTACTGAAATATTTATTTTGCAAAGTTGATGATTTTGCATTCATTTACACTTTAAAAATTCTTCTTTTGGTTTTCATAAATTGCCAGTACTTGCCCAATACAATTGCTCCATGGTGATTTGCAGTCTGGTAGAAGGGTCCTTGTAGGGCAGGTTTTGCCAACTGTATCAGGTAATAACTTATGGCATAGATTATCATCTTGCTGTGAATATGTTTGGCTCTGATTTTAGAAGCTAAAACATTGGTCTTGGAGAGGATTGCCAGTTAATAGTTGTCACACCGCTATTGTCTATTATGCAACTATTATGTGCAGAAATTGAACAAAGGGCAATAATTCTTTTTTGGGGCTCTCTTGTTATTAGATTGTTTTAAAATCTCCCCAAAGTAACTTTTCCCTGGGCACCCCTTTTCTATTTCTAAAGAGTTGCTTGGCCCTTTCATGTTTCAAAAAGACCCACACGTTTCACTTGTCGTAACATATTTCTTGATCTCCACAAGGAACTCACAAAATTCACATGACTTTTATTCACAGAGAAAGTTGGCTTTGATGTCCCTAAAAGATAATTATGCTACTTGCTGATCAGCCAGTCAGTTCACCTAGCTTCAATCTTTGTAGGACCTCAAAACTAACTTTCCTGCACTTGACTAAAAGGCGGATGATTGGAATGGATTATATAGCATATTCAAGTGGATCCCTAAATATTACTTTATATGATAAACTAAGACCAGGACCATGTCCTCTATAGGCCACTTTTTAAAAAGCCACATTTATGCAACTTTTTCATTTTAAAAAAATTCTTACTCCTTTACATTTGTACTCTAACTATAAAACCCACACTTCTGAGTGACTGAGCCTATGATTATATTTTTGATTGTATGCTTATTTTTTGTGGGAGAGAGAGAGAGAGAGAGAATGTGTGTTTCTCCTCTGTGAATAATTTTGTATCTCATGCTACTTCTTGAAAGTTTACTTTTTGATGCTATAAGGGAATAGCCAGATGATTTATACAAATAATCTCTACCTGCAGGATGGTGGATTATTAAATTAGAGAAATGCTGTTTGGAATATCAATGTTCATGGTTGGATTCAACTTAACCAATTGCATTTTTATAATGTAGTATATTCCTTCATTGACTGTATTATCAATTCATAGAGTGATTTTAAAACTTAAGAAAAAGATATATGTTTGGAGACTAAAATATATTAATGCCAAATGTGTTTTGGTCAGTTACTAGAGAATTCTGTACAAATGCATCATCTCTTCAAATGCTGTACAGTTTGCTTGTTTGGCAGGTACTAGGGAGAATAAGTGTGGAGTAAGACTTAAAGGAAATAGTATCATGTGATTACAAAAATTAGAATTTATAGAAATATTGGGATAAACGAAGAAATAAAAATCTTTGTCTAGAATGTAGCATCTAGTGACTTTTGATGCCCTCACTTCACATGAAGGAGTGATATTTCTGTCTAAGGCCAGACCGAGCCATGACCAAGACTCATGGGGGAATTATCAGTCCTCTTTTCCTAGAGGAATAACTGAAAGCCAATAAAAGTCTTAACAGTCCCCTCTTGGACGTGTATTTATGTATTTTTTTTTTTTTTTTTTTTTTTTTAAAGCAGGGCAGAAGACATTTAGAGTCTGGCTATATGACATATTGGGGAATTTTTTCACTGGAAGGGGGCAGGGGGAGGATTTCACTTCATTGTCTCACCCTTAATATCTTTCGTGAGCTAAAGGAACCATCATAGTCTAGAATGGTTTTATATAACACTAACAATTTAGCCTTTCTTAAAGTATTGAACAAGGGCCAGGTAACTGCCAAAGGAAGCCTTGCTCCATGAAGTCTGCTTACACATTTACATCTCGTGTACCAGTTTTAAAGACTTTTTTCATCATGTGCAGCTATAAGGGGAATAGGGCATTCTGTAGGATTATACATGTCTAGTTTGTAAAGTATGTAATGTGTACTGCAGAGGTGTGTTCTCTGGGCTTTATGTATCTGTACAGTAGCTTTCATTAAAAAAAAATTGTGGACAAACTTGTTTTGGTGGTTTGAGGGGGAAAATGGCCATTTATACCAGATAATGATGCTGTAATATATAGTACATGTAACAAAAGATCTGGAAGTAACCCTCCCCTGGCCCGTGGAAAATTTTGGTTATCCTCTAGGTTCTAAAATGAAGATGTATGGATACTCTGGCAGACTGCATGTTGTATAATTTGAAAAATACTAAAAGTGGAAAATAAAACTGAGTTAAACTTTGTCTGGTCTGTTTTTTCTTGAGTCATCCTAAAGGCATTCTCATTGAAGGCCTCAAGGCCAGTGTCAGGTAGAACCATTGTTGACCTGAAAAGAAGAGTTCATTTCAGTAGACAGCCACTCAGCCTCAAAGCATGAGTAAAGTCAGCCTTAACCTTCCTGCCTCCCCCTTGGCTCGAATATCTGTTTTTATTTATTTTTTAGTGAGGAACCAGAAAATGTGACATTTGTTCCTTCAGCACTGAAATGAGAGCAACTGATATAAATAAGTGTCTTAAACTTTTTTTCTAAGGTAAGGTTGAGATGAAGGTCAGCAGACCAGGGTAATAGCTGAATTTCTTCTTGTCCGAGTAAGGCACTTATTCCAATAATACTTTAGCGTAGTGACTTTCTTCTTCTAATGTGTTGGAGTCCTGTCCATGTTGAATGTTGGAAGATTATTGGTATCTTTTGAGAAGGGTTGGCATGTTTGTGTTCCTGTTTAACCTACCGAGAGTATTAACGTATAGGTCTGAGATCTTAGGAGAGGACGTTGGAATGTGAAGCCTTTGGAGAATAATGAAAGGCAGGCTGCAGGATGATTAGTTCTGCTCCGAGCAAGGAGACTTCTATAGCTCGGGTCACTGGAACCCTGTGGCCACACAGGCATTGTGTATGAGAAATACCCTCATTCGTGGTTTGCTTAATGTTGCGTGAGAGCCAGACAGTAAACTGCTTTAATCAATTAAAAACGGGAAGGATGGATGCCAGGTAAACGTTTGGTAAGTGGAATTGAGGGCATGGCAGATGATGTGCTTTTATGATGTCTTATCCATCTTGCTTGAAATTGTGAGTCTCCAAAGAACTCAGAGGAGGCCTTTTTCCAGATATCAGAGTTTTTTTTTTTTTTTTTAAAGATTTTATTTATTTATTTGACAGAGATCACAAGTAGGCTGAGAGGCAGGCAGAGAGAGAGAGAGGTGGAAGCAGGCTCCCCACTGAGCAGAGAGCCCGATGCGGGGCTCAATCCTAGGACCCTGGGATCATGACCTGAGCCGAAGGCAGAGGCTTTAACCCACTGAGCCACCCAGGTGCCCCCAGATATCAGAGTTGTTAAAGGTGACTTGTGTAGTAAAACTTTAGATGTGGATAATATTTAGGCTGAAGCTGTGTATTTAAGATGAGAAGGAAGTCCTCCAAAGGAACCCAATGGCAAAGTGAATTTCAGCATCAGTGGGAAATGACCCCACAGGTCCCAGAAAGCAGGGGTTCTGTGATGCAGGAGGACTGCACAGACACCCACTGTTCCCTGGGTTACTGCAAGTCTTTCTCAACGTTTCCCATTCCATGGAGCTCTGATGCTTGGGCTATGCCTAGGAAGTACAGAGCCCATGAACATCTGTGGGAGAATGTGGAGCTGGAGCCATAGCCTGCAAAGGTAATTACAGATGACGT